AAAAAAACTCATTCAAAACCAATTTTAAATGGCAACATAAATTGGGGGTAAAGAAAACCTCAAAAAAGGAAACAGAGAAAAATAAACGTTTTGAAATTTAAAATTCCACCRAAATTCTACCTCAGAATTCTGAAAAGTCCTGAATTTCCTCTTTCCCCTGTGACTATCATGTGGGTTAGTGCTCAGCAACATCTTCAGACTTTTATTTGACCTCCAAGTGCCTGAAAAGTAGAGGAATATTCTTTTACTTTACTTTGGTGGCTCTGTCTTGCTATTTTATAACTAGATAGAAAATGTATTCTCGAGTATTATCTGCAGATAAAATCTAAATGTTGGAAATATTTTCACTTATAATTTCACTTACAGTGTATTGTAAGACAATGCATTCAGATCAGTTCTGCTGGGATCTAATAACACGAGGAAAATAATTTCAAAAATATATGAAATAACTTTGGTTTTATGTTRAGAATTCTTTATCTTTTTACAAATATTGCTGATTTTTCTGCTGTCTTTCCTTCCTTTTTTTCAAGTAGTTACAAGAAATGCTTTAGTTCTACAATGACATATATGGCSAGTGGGAAAAAATAAAGTAAAATATTTTTAGGAGGATGAAGAGAAAAGGGAAAAATTCAAAATATCAACAAGTGAGTAAAGACTACGAGGAAGATATCTTGGTGGATCCCCATGCCGGGAACATTTTAGGATATACTTTCCCAGTTATAGCAGCTGAAAGAAAACGTTCATCCTAGAAGCATCCCCATTTACTGAATTTTGATCGTGTGGGAACTGCTGTGGAACTGAATCTCAGTGCTGCTATTTGAATCATCATCTTCTGCACAGAGAGCTGGTTGTATGCCAGAACGGGTTATTGTGCCTGCTTCACTTGGTCTGTGCAGATCCCGTGTCTTTTATTGGAAACCCACAATGTTTTGTTGTTTGTTCAAGATAGTGGAGTCCCAGTAGCTCACTGTGCCGAAGACCTAGCCCTACTGATTATATATTGTGAGGAGGGTTAAACTGAAATGGTAGCCTAGAGTCTCTGCAGATTGCCTGTCAGTGGTCTTGGCAGCTGCAGAGATTGCAGATCCAAGCTATAGATCCATAGCTATAGGTTAATATCTTCTTTGTTTGAAGATATATAGACATCTCCATAAATCTAGCTAAAATGCATACAGCAGGTTCTCCCCCCCCMAAAAAAATGTGTTTTAATTGTCCCATATTCATTTCTGTCAACTGGAAAYGAAGGAACTTCATTTTTAAGCCTGGAAATGTGGATTGCCTGCTGTGGTGCTGAGTACTGAGGCACTGAGGAGCTGGTTTGGAGACCTGGTACAAGGCCTCCAAACCAGCTCCTCAGATATCAGGTCATACCTGAGACATATCAAATGCCATGGAGCCCCACTCATTGCAAGATGCTGGCAAAAACCAGCAGTATAAAACTCCTCCTGCAACCCTTYGAGTGACTGGGGACACAACCATAGCCTAGATGTTCCCTTAACTACAGGCTGCAGCATGTGCAGATATTGCTTCAACGTATGGCTCCCATGACAGCAATGCTGATGCTTCAAGAGATCTAATTATGGATGTTTTTACTGGCTCATTCATGGTCTAATATTCAGCCTACTGGTTCATTGCAAACTGTAAAAAAGAGGGAGGTGGTTTCTGCTCTTGCCATATTTGATCCTGTTTTTCCACCTTCCCTCTTCTCCCTCCAGGGCAAGAGTCAGGCCCAGGTCTGAGTCACTGCTGAGGAGAAGGTGAGCCAGGATTGAGCCAGGACTTCACTCTGCCTCCAATTAGTCTTTAGTAAAGACCAATTCTTCTAGCTTTGAATTAAAGAAATCTTAATTAGGCTTTCCAAAGTGCTTGTTTTTTTAGTTAATATTGCTTGGCCAYATCTGGCAGGTATCAACATCAGGAATGAAGACAGGAACCAGACCAAGACATGAACTGTGCTGCTGCAGCAAAACACTCTGTTGCTGGGACTTGCAAATGCGTGGGCATGTTGCAAAGAGCCAAGAGGAACCTCCAAAGGCGACGCAGCAGAAATTACTCCCACAGTCTGTGCTTGCTGCTTGCCCACCTCAAAGCAGAGAGCTCCACAGCCACTGGGCAGCAAATGACAAGCGCTTGGCCAGAAACATTGCACACTGGAGAGTGATGAAGTCCAAAGGAGAGCTATGGGACACCCTAAAATTGGATAACAGGGGCTGCATAGGGTGTACAGGTACCTGAAAATAGTTGGTTAGGTGGAGGCAATTGAAAGATTGTGCACAGCCACTCAGTAGAAGTAAGTTCTTCCTGTGGTCCAACCAGTAAGAAAGGACAAAACTTCCCCCTGAAACTGGATCCCATGGCTGGTGAAAGCAAAACCAGGTTTTATCTCATTTATTCCATCCCCTGGGGATTGATTTATTTTTATTTCTTATTTTCTTAAAGAAGACTCCAACAATCATCTTGGGGAATGCTAAAGAAGAGGTTTTCCTTTTCCAGACCACTGTTGGCAGCAGAAGGACAGCCAGGGGGATTTCCTGCATGAACCCATTAGAGTGACGGGACCAGGCAGTGGGATCCCCAACCCCGCTCAGCACCATGCCTCTGTGCACCAGCCCCAGTGCGGGGCGAAAGCAACTGAGATGCTCTGCAATGTCAGCTCACACTCTGCAGCGTCAGAGGGAAACACTATTTTTTCCCTTGTTGTGTAGCAGCACAAGAAATTTTTGCAAGGGAACCTASGTAGGGCAGGTGTCTTCTTTCAGAGCAGATTCCAGCCCCCAGGAAAATTACACGTTAGCAAGATAATGGATTAGAGGGAGTGGCAATTGGTGACACTCCCCAGTACGGTGGAGCAGGAGCAATAACCCGATGAGGGATAGGAGCAAGTGGCAAGTTCGGGCAGCAGAGACCCTGCTCTGCTCCCTCCTGCTTCATGGACCACGGGAAGGAAAGAACCTGCACCCCTTCTGTGTCTGCAACTGGACTGCAACGGGTAATCGCTTCCTTCTTTTTGCACCAATGCAGGAATTGTCTTTGAACGGGCTGCCTGCGGACTGGCCGTCCCTGGGGGTACTGGGATAAAGCTGTAGATGGTTTGAAAACTCCCGAATGCGATGGTGAGATGCCTTCAGGGAATCTCCTGTCAGAAGGAAAGTTGTCGTGAGATGCCTTCAGGGAATCTCCTGTCGGAAGGAAAGTTGTCGCTGCGCTCGGGAGGGGTGGTAGTGTTTGACAGTCGGGAAATGTGCTGCTACTTCAAGAGGGTTTAACCTGCTGCATTTCTCAAAAGATCGGGAGCTTTAAACAAGGCAGTTTGCTGAGCTGAGTGGGGCAGCTTGGGACCTCACAACGGGATTATTCTTCCAGGCGGGTTGATGTGACGAATGGGTCACAGCAAGCAAGGATCGTCCCTTGATTTTGCAAGCTATTCTTGCAATGTTACAAAACAAAAAAAAAAACAAAAAAAACCAAAAACAAACAAAAAAAAAAGCTTTTTATCTCTTTCTATCTCATCTTGCATTGCTAAGACTCCTAAGACTCAWCGTCTTGGGAGAAATGAGAGCAGAGTCTGCAGGAACACTGCACTGAGATCTGACTGTACCACATACAACTTCTGCCCTGCTGTGTCTCTCACCTCTTCACGGGTGTCCCAGTGACTCAGGTGCTCCTTAGGAGTGCCACAAGAATGGTCTCTCATCCACCTTTACATGGGAAAAGAGAGCACTGCACTGCAAGGATGTCAACCCTCCTTGGCAGTCATGGACCATGTAACAAGGGGCAATGACCACAGGTCGGCTCCAGGGGTCCAAGTTGGCTGTGAGGAAACATTTTCCASCCTCGAAGGGGATGAACTCTGGGGTAGGTCACCAGGAAGCTGGAGGATCTCCATCTTCAGAGGGTTTGGGGCTCAGCTGGGCCAAACCATGACCAGTGCTGATGACACCTACTGKAACTGGGGAGTTGAGCAGGGACTCCCTGAGATCCTGTCCACCGATGCTGTGATGACTGTTTGATCCTCCATACGTGCACTCCAAGAACAGCAGAGGGAGCAAGCGGTCTTCTCTCTGGCTATGAAAGCACCCACAACAAGGAAAGCTCATTCCTCAAACAGAAGAGAGCGGGGAGAACTAGGGTCTGCTCGAGTCTTCCTTTCATCCACCAAGAGGATATTTTGCAAAGAGGTTGTTGCAAGTCACGTGCACAGTCTTCAAGCCGTTGGCACCTGACGTTAGCCACAGCTTCACGTGCAGACCAGCACAGACCCATGGATTTGGCTCATCTCCAACAACCAGGATTATAATAATAGGATGTTGTGGTAGGATCATGCTAAAACAAACCCTTCTCAGGAAAAATAGCATGTCTTCTGGGACAGATGTCTACTTCGGTTTGCAAAAATAGCTCAGAGGCGTTCAGAAGACAGTGCAATCTTACTTTCAGATATTGTGCATTATTTAATTTCATATTAAGAACAAAAACCTAAMCATTTCGATGACGATATTGGGATGATTTACTTCTGACTCAACCAGCTAACAGTTTAGCCAAATAATCTATTCTTCTGACTGTTATAGCTGTCATTTTGCATGAATAATCTATGATCACATCCTCAGAGATCAAATGTGCACAGGTTGGTGGAATGTCTTGATGTATGTATTGGTGAAGGTATTGGAAAGGGTGTATATGTATACATGCACATAACTTATTTTTTCTGAGTATGATGGCGAATGCATTGTTAAAATGTAATGGAGCGTAGCACTTTGTAAAATGAGCTATTAGAAAAAAAATGCAAGATTTCAGATTTAAAATTATTGCACTGATCATGTGGTCAGGGTAACATATTAATAAAAGCATGGTGCATGTCAAATGCAACACACGTAATCCCCAAGTTCTGTGTTAGTAAAGTCAATGTCTATTGATGCTCACCCTGCTAACATGTTTTGCAGAGAACCATGAAGTGGCTGTTAGTCRCCATCGCTTATTTAATGTGCAGTACTGAAAAGTCAGAGGGACTGATTGGAATGACAGAGGCAAGCCCCGAGGCACTCATGGATGTGGTAAGTTGCATTTTCTCTCCATTTGTTGCTGTGTGATCCTCTCATCCACTCCAAAAAGTTCAAAACTTTGGCACACAGGTCATTTATATTGCTATGTTATATATCGGTATATCAACATTACCCTTCTTTTTGACCAGCCTGGCCAAAACTCATGGTCTCCATACATTTATCCTTACCAAGGATGGCTGTGGCTCGGTCCAACTGAACACMGAAAGCCCCCAGGATGGAGAGGCCCCACCAACCCAGTAACTTAGCCAACTCTTTTTATTTCCCTCCCTTCAGGGTGATATTGTTCGCTACCATGGGTACCCCTACGAGGAACACGAAGTCATGACGGATGATGGCTATTACCTTATCATGCAGAGAATTCCTCATGGCAAAGACGACTTGGCAAGTGCAGCTACTTCGCATGAGGCAGAGTCACAAGGCTCCAGCATGTTCTGCACCAGTAAGTACTAGAAGAAAATCTGCTTGGTCCCAGAACCCCTGAAAGTTTTTGATTGGCAAGGACAGGCCATTGGCAGCACTGCCTTGTTGGGGGATACAAGGACAAGTGTGGAGTCCTRCACCTKGGGAGGAATAACACCAGGCATCAGTACAGATTAGGGGTTGACCTGCTGGAGAGTAGCTCTGCGGAGAGTGATCTGGGAGTCCTGATTGACAAGAAGTCAACCATGAATGAGTAGTGTCCTCCTGGCCAAGAAGGCCAATGGGATCCTGGCTGCATCAGGAGGAGTGTTGCCAGCAGGGCTGGGGAAGTGATCCTGCCCCTCTACTCATCTCTGATGAGGCTGCACCTGGAGTGTTGGGTGCAGTTCTGGGCTCCCCAGTACAAGAGGGATGTGGAACTTCTAGAGAGGGTCCAGAGCAGAGCGATGAAGATGATGAAGAGAATGRAGCATCTATTGTATGAGGAAAGACTAAGTGAGCTGGGCCTGTTTAGCCTGGAGAAGAGAAGACTGAGAGGAGATCTGATCAATAGGTATAAATACCTGAGAGGTGAATGTAGGGAGGATGGGGCCAAACTCTTCTCGGTGGTGGCCAGTGATAGGACAAGCGGCAACGCATATTTGAAACACAGGCAGTTCCATCTCCATGTGAGAAAGAACCTCTTTCCTGTGAGGGTGACAGAGCCCTGTCACAGGCTGCCCAGGGAGGTTGTGGGTTCTCCTTCTCCGGAGGTCTTCAAAACCTTCCTGGATGCCACCCTGTGCCGTGTGTTCTAGGTGTCCCTGCTGGAGCAGGAGGTTGGACTAGATGATCTCTAGAGGTCTCTTCCAACCTCAGCCTTTCTGTGATTCTGTGATTCAGAGACCTGTGGAAGGCTGGGTACACAAGGAGACATTCTTCCCTGTTGGATTAGCCTGAGTCAGAAGAAATGCATGTACCCACGATACCAGCTTTGTTGTTCTAAGAGGATATTATTTACAAGAGGAAAAAGATAGGGGAAATGAACATAGAGAAATCTCACCCCAAATTTTATACCCATCCAAAGATAGCTAAACCCATGACATACGGTCCTATGCATCCATAGGGAATTCCTGGTGGAGCAGCCAAGAGCCATTTATTAGTAAATATAAAACGCCTGCCAAATCTAATGTTATTTCACTATTTCTGCTGCTTTTGACTCTTGAATGGAATCACTATTTCAAAGTGGAGAGGATGATGCATACTTGGCAGGACCTCACAATCCTGTGAAATGTGAAATATGAATGTGATCAATAAGTATAATAGGTCAGATCTCTGTTTAGGTTACTTTTTTGTTTTTAGCTCTCCAGGGTGAAAATGTAATTATTAAGCTGAAGTCTAAGAAACAACAAAACAGAGAAAATAAAGGAAAAGCAGGGGGAAAAAAAGGACTTCTTTTAAAGTCATTTTAAATCCAACTTTTTAATGCTGCAACCATTCATTGTAGTTCCAGTGTATAAATTCTAATATCTTTAGTATGACCCTACTGTAACTAGGAATCTATATCTGTTTTGAGTATGCGACTGGAGTATAGACCTCAAAGGGACCTTTCCCATCTAAATCTTTCTCCACTCCCTCTTCCAGTCCACTGATCAAACTAACCAGCAATCAATGACGTGCCAGGAGTTTGGGGCTTTTGTAGAAAAGGTCTTCGCTTTCTCCTGAGGATTTGTTCCTATGTCCTGAAGTGGGCAGAACTGGGTGGAAGAGTTTTTCTTGACCACCCTGGGATCTGCATCTCTCTCAAAGGAGCAGGAGGGTATTTGTTATGCCATGAAAGAAACACGTATGAGGGACGGGAGCCTGGATTGTGTTGTCTGTTGAGCATCTCTTGGTCAGACCGAAGAGGACCTAGCTCAGAAGAAGACCAGTCAAAGGAAAGCAGTTTCCGTGGAGAAGGCACACTCAATATTCAGGCAGTCAAGGGGCACAGTTGCTTTCCTGTGAGCATGAGTCACCATGCTCCATTGAGTTTGGAGTCCCATTTTATCAGCTCCAGCATATGATTTTTCTCTACCCTGGGATGCCCAAACAGCCTACTCTTTCATCAAAAAAAAAAACCACTTCTTGGGAAAAGTAGGCTATATGGCTGTATATACCCCTTTAGAGTGCTGCCGAAGTGATATCTGAAGTGTGAATGCTCCATTGTTTTAGCTGGGAGAGGAAATGACCCATTTCTTCTTCTTTCTTCAGCTCCAAAGCCTGCAGTGCTCCTGCAGCACGGCCTGGTGTTGGAGGGAAGCAACTGGGTTACTAACTTGCCCAACAGCAGCCTTGGCTTCATCCTCGCGGACGCGGGCTATGATGTCTGGATAGGAAACAGCAGAGGGAACAGCTGGTCAAGAAAGCACAAGGAGTTTGCTTTTTACCAGGAGGAATATTCTGCCTACAGGTATTTTCAAGGAAGCTGCAGGAGTGATGGCAGATCTGCCTGTTTTGTTCATAAGGTTGTAAGTGCATAGGCTGGAGCTCCACCGATGGAGTTCTGGGATCTACCAATGGGCRTATGTTTGCACTACCATGACAAGGTATGGGTGTCCCTATGTGCTAACTCCCCAAATATTCTTTTCCTAATGCAATGGAACTGCATGGACAAGAACTTTACCTTTTCCTGCAAGCAGAATAGAGATTCGTGTGGAAAAGGTGCTCACCTAGCCTCCAGAAGTCCTGCACAGAAGTACTTCCATGTGCAAACACAAAAATCTTCTAAGACATATAACAAATTGATTTGGCAAACCAGGGATGTGAAGCATGGGTCAAGCTGTTGGGAAGACTCAGCTACATGATTTGCACGTAGCTCCTGGTGTTCCCAGCATCCAAGGCCAGCAACACTGATGTTGTTTTGTGCTCCTCTTCCTTGCAGTTTTCATGAAATGGCTATGTATGACCTTCCAGCAACAATCAACTACATTCTGCAGAAAACGGGACAGGAGCAATTATACTATGTGGCTTACTCTCAAGGCACCACCACAGGTATTTACGTGGAGATCAGGGCACTGGCAGAGTTACGTGAGCTGTGCACCTCATGGATGGTGGGTATTTTCCCTAAAAGTGTAGAAGATGGAGATAAACTGCAGCACATCMTAACTATGAGGGGAGAAGAGTAGGTAAAAATCCTGATTTGTATTAACAAGGCAGTCTTGATGAGGACAACTTAAAAGTAATTGCAGCAAAAGGTTTCTGATATAATCCATCATGGGAGCTGCAGCTGGAGTGAATTATCAAGGTGGGAACTGAGATGAGCTTCAGGTCACGTCACCAACCAGCTGTAACACTGGCAAAGCGTGACAGCCTCCAGGAGTACTTCCAGCCAGCACACACATCTAGGAGTCAGTAACCCCTGCAGAAACAACAGGGCAAGGTCTCACTCCCTCCCACTCTTGCAGGTTTCATTGCATTTTCCTCCATTCCCGAGCTGGATCGCAAAATCAAGATGTTCTTTGCATTGGCTCCCATTACAACAAACTCAAACATGAAGTCGCCCTTAGTGAAAGTGTTTGATCTTCCTGAGGCATTGATTAAGGTGAGTCTTATCAGACATTCGCTGGCTTTGCTCTTTCGGTACAAAGTCAGACAGGAAAGGTCTTGGAGGTTAGAAGTGAAGGCGAATGAAGAACGTCATTATACTTTATTGCCAGCAATGTCTTTTGGGAAGAAGAAAGCAGAAGGGTCTGAAAGCCCCCACTGGCAGTCAGTTCTTGAGTTAGCACTTCAGAAAAGCCTCAGCAGGAAGAAAGGRTTTGCAGAAGCTGATGAGACAAATGGACTAAGGTGGGAATGTGAAAGTCTCAGCACTTGAGATGCACAGTATTTACATGTCACTTTGCCCTTTGTATTCCCATTTGCTTTGAGCTCCTTTGTTCTGAAAAGGTCACCTTTGTACCTATAGTTTTGGAACTATGATGCTTTAAACCATGTGTAACCTCTTGCTTTCCAGCACTGGCCAAAGAGCTATTTCTAGACATTAGTTCAGGATCCTTCAGCTTTAAGGAGAAACGATCCTCTTTCAGGGTCCTAATCATTTCTGAAAAGTCAGAAAAGACAGAATTATGATGCATGGCAAAACTATGGGAAGGCACACAGCAGGGATGGAACTGTGTCACTGATAAAGTGTCTTTGAACTTCACAGCTCATTTTAGGACGCACAGTGGTCTTCGATAATGGTGAGATACTGCAGCAGGTGACTTCTCGACTGTGTGGCTATTCAATCTTTAAGAGCTTTTGCTCCTTGGTCCTTTACTTGCCTGGTGGGTTTACCAACAACTTAAACGTGGTATGTACACTCTAGATTCCTTCTTAAGTGACCTAGTTTTGCGTTGCTTAACTCTAATATGGACATGCAGCTAACTTCAAAAAAGAAATAAGTATTCTTTAAAAATCATTTAACCACAAATATAAGCCTTTCTCTGTGCTCCACTGCACTGAACACAACGTCATAGAATAATTCAGACTGGAGACAYGCCTGAGTAGGGGGTTCTGGTCCAACTCAAGCAGGGTCAAGCTTGCAGCTAAGGTCACCCAGGAGTCTACCCAGRCAAGTCTGGGCAATCTTCAAGCTTGGAGATGCCCCACAACCTGAGGCCTGTCTTGGATGGCAGAAGTCATATGGGGAAGGAGCTTTTCTTCAGGTCCAATTGGAATATCAAGGGCTGGATCCTCTGAGAGACAGCTTTTGCAAGTAAAACTGGTGACATATCCATTGAGAGCACCAAACAACAGTAACTTGGCCAAGCCTGGGCCCAKGCAGAGCTGGGCCACTGTTTTTGAAGACAAGCGTTGATGTTGTTATTTAGTCTTTCAAGAATGGGATGTGTTAGCAATGATGTGTGAGCTGTCGCAATATGCTGCACGTTGGCTTCGCAAAATGACCCTGAGCTCAAAATAACAAGTTCTCCTTTGAGCTGAAAAATATTATCTTCTACTATCATGACCCTGTATCTCATGAGAATTGCTGGGCTTACTGAAGGGAGCTCTGTGGCACCCTTTTTGCTGCTATTTGCAAAGTGTCTTCAAATGGAGTGCAGCTGAGTGATGCCTTCAGAGAGCTAAGGTGAAATAGTTTGCACGGATCAAAGATCCAGCCAGCCTTTGTGATCAAAACATCCATTTTTTGGGCTACGGAGATGGATCAAATTTAGTTCAGAGGGTATTCTCCTCCATGCAGAGAATAAATCTCTCCAACGTGTTCTTGCAGAGCCGCATAGACGTCTATCTGTCCCGCTACCCGGATTCGACATCCTTGAAAAACATGCTRCATTGGCGCCAGGTAATATTTCCTGCTGCAGAATAAGACGACATGCAACCTAGGCCCATGTTCTGGGAGAACATATACTGAGATATTTAAGTATCTCAATACTTAAGTATAATTCTTGCACTACTTTCCCTACACAGTTAGATTACACAGAAGGGGGAAATCTTACATGAAATGGTGATGCAGATGCAACTCTTTTGATCAAAGCATTCAGCAAAAGATGAGCCAGAGTGTTTTGAGCTGGTAGGTGCCAGAGCTGGAAGCAAATGATTAAATATAGACCGATGCGAGATGTAAGAGTAAGACTGAGGGTCAATAGAGTCATTATCAGTAAGTACTAAGTGAAATAGCTAATCAGTGAAAACATGCATTGATTCATATTCTTCTTTTCATATAATATCTAAGGAAATATAATGTCTAAGGCATCAACTAGCACTCTAAATCTGCTCTTTTTAATTTTTTTTTTTTTTTTTTGCTCTGAATGGAATAGATTAAACAATCAGAATTTGTTTTTCATTCAGATCTTTCAAAACACACAAGCATACGGCAGATGTCCACCCTTTCTAGTCTGCTCTTATCATTCTTAAATCTTCTTTTAACATTCCCTGTTGTACATAGAAAATAAACATCTCTCTATTTTCCAGCTCTATCTAACAGGGGAATTCAAATATTACGATTACGGCAAGGACAACATGCTCCATTATAACCAGGTAAGAGAAACTGTTTATTTGTCAGTTTTAGAAGAAAAGAGAGAAAAAGACAGTGAAAATATTCCAAGAACTCAGACTGGCTAGTCCGGGGTTTATGGAAATAACCTTGTTTAGTCAAATTTATACCTTTCTTATAAAGAAGAGCTTTACGATGTTTTTCGGTGCTAACTTTTTGACTCTGATGAGAACTGTGGAAGTCCAAGGCATAGTCAGGATCTCCAGTGATATTCTCTATGTTGTCTCTCTGGATAGACAAGAAATTCCAGTAGCAATCCAGCAATGCAGTATTTTTTGTGTGTTTGCAGAGGCTTGCAGAGGATTTTCTAGCCGTTCMCTTTCCAAGCTATGTTATTTGTCTTCCAGACATCTCCTCCCTTTTATGAGCTGGAAAACATGAAAGCACCTCTTGCTGCATGGTATGGTGGCAAGGACTGGATTTCAGCCCCCGAAGACGTTAATATAACATTGCCACGCATAACCAATGTGGCATACAAAAAGTATATTCCTGAATTTGTCCACTTTGATTTCCTCTGGGGTGCRAAAGCATATGAAGAAGTATATGGAGAAATTCTTCAACTGATGGAGAAGAACCTCTAGAGTTGGGATAGTGGCAATAACTGTTGAGTTCTCATTTCTCTTCAGGGCTTCATTTTTTTGTTTTGTTTTAAAATAGTGAGAAAAAAAAAGAGAGAGAAAAAAGTTCATTAAACTTCTACACTTGGTTTATATTTATAATACTCTGGCAACTAGATTAACCAGCCCAATCCACTGATTCGGAAATCATATAGGCTTTGTATTAAATAATGGGAGTCCCTGGGAAAGGCTGGCATGGCCCTGGAATTCCCAGGAACCTCACACATGTGGATGTCCACAGACAAGTGATCTCAGTGGAGTTGGGCACCTGGTCRCTGTGGTTGGCCTGGCCTCCCTATGCCTCAGTTTCCAACTGCAATGCTGGGATGGTAGCTCAGCTCCATCCTGGATGCTGTGATGAGAATAGGTATGCTCAGACAAGACCACAAGGTCCTGCTCCACGTGATGAGTCCTGCCAGTGCAGCTTTATTTTGTGACTCTTCTACATCAAGAAATGCAAGAATCTTAAGTTTATTATTTTCATTTGTGGTTTGAAGTAGCTGGAGACCTTCTGTCCAAAAAAAATAAGAAGAGCAGGCATTTTGCCATGAAAACTTTGCTAATGCAGGCTAACATCTTTTCTGTAAACGTGTGTTGACACACATAATACCTGCTCATACACACACATTTTTCAGTAGTTTCTACTAAGAAACATTTTTTTTTTTTTCACCATTTTAAGTATTCTTAAAATACTTAAAAATATTCCCAAGGCACCAACCCAGAAAGTCACCTATGGCTGAATTTCAGGAAAAGCTTTTGTTTTCTATATCCGTGAGAGAGGAGAGTCTGGTGGAAGCCAGGAAGAAGTCTATTTTCAGCTTTGCACTATGCTTCGTAGTAATGTATTGACCAGGAGAGGAATTATGAMTTTGCCTATTTGCATAACTTCATTCTAAAAATATGTTCAGGAGCAGGGCAAAGGATAAGGCCCTCCTTCCATGGAAACGTACAAATAAAGATAAAATAAAATAAGATCTGCTGACCTCTGTCTGCCTGTAAGGCTTTAACCCTCTTGAGAAATGTGGTGATTTTCAGCACAGATCTTCAGCTSTTTGCCCAACACTCTACACACTGCACAGAATGGTGGCAAATGCCCACCACAATGGTTCTGCCAAGATCTTCTGAAAACCAAGCTGAGGGTCTTCACAACATGATCCAGGTGTTTCAAGATAGAGGGGGGAGCTTTGGGGACACATCCATGTTGGAGGGACAGAAATAAGCAGTATTTGAGTTAAAGGAAACCACCGAGGAGTACATGTTGTAAAAGGCACTGTTTTCCTTACAGCAAGCATTGACCAAAGAAGAAAATCAGCTTGGATTAGGTAATCATTGGGTATACAATTTAGGCTATAGGTTAGGTTTGATCTACATGGAAATAGGGTGATTAGGTACCTCAGTTGGTATCTTTGCAATGACATCAATGTGATTAACTGCTTACTGCCAGGCTCACACAACAACAACATTTCTTCAGCATTGCATTGCCTTCATGCTATGAGTGTCAATGCAAATGCAAGAAGACTCTCATAYCTCTGCAAGTAAACATCTGCAGCTTTGCAAAACTTTTCCCCAATAGGCTGCAAAAAGCCAAAAAGTCTGTTTTGTTCTGTTCTGTTTTCTTAGAATTACTAACTTTTTACCTTCTGAAAGGTTATAATAAAAATAGCGTTTCTGTTATTTTCTTCCCCTTCAATCTATAATGTTTTTGACATTTCTGCGCTTCTTTGCTGTATTGTTTGTATCACCTTGTTTTAATTCATTTCACGGCTGATAGGTTTAGTGAAGTTCTTTCCAAATCAGGTTTTGGGAGCACTGTGTTTTTCCTGGAACAGATTCATTAGATAGTCCAGTTTTGCATTTCATTTTAGAGGATCAATGATGTTTTAACTGCTGCATTTCGAAAGGAAAGAGCACGGTAAATAATCCGTGTGCTTATAGCATAAATATCATAGTGTTCTTGGGTCTCAGGTCATGTAGCCTCAGTAAGTAAAGAAATGGAGTTACCCAGGGAGGAGGTTGCCAAACTTTTAGATATTAATTAACCTTTGATGGTCAATAGTGGTGATTTATATGCAACATTAAGCCACCAAGTCAACCAAGTCACTTGTTGTGTAGTTACATAATGCCGAGCCCACAACTCACGCAAGTCTAAGACCCGTAAACAACTTAGGATCTTCACTAAGGAAGATTTAAGAGGACTTAAGCGGGTTAAACCTAAAACCTGAAGCCTTGCATGCAGCTGATGACACTCCTGTGAGATTGATGCATCTTCCATGAAACACCTCTCTGGTGGAAGTGGATGCCCACCTTTATCCTCCTGGGAGAGATCAAGGTGACTATATTTGTACCGCTCTGCTTCCCCAATCCTTGGGTAAAGAAGCGAGGTGCTGCTGGTCCCCTAAAGCATCCAGGCTAAGAGATGGCCCATAGCAAGAACTAGAGTCCTTCACGGTGYGAAGTCTGTCACTTTGGGACCTGAGCTTTCTCTTGGTAGAACAAGGATGTCAGAGCCGATGTCTAGCAGCGAGGCYTGGAGCTGAGGGCCCTTTCCATGCTGGCACAGCCTGTCCCATTGCCACAGCAAGGGAGCAGGGCAGGCTGGGGCAGCCCCAGGCCAAGAATCAGGCTCTTCAGTTGAGCCGAAGGTGGGCCAAGACTGGGCTGGGAYATCAGCCTGCAGACCAAGGTCTGGGTCAGCTTCATCTCCCACCCTTAGACCTCACAACCCAGCATCCTGGCCATCCCCACCCCCACGGATGTTCTTATGGCAGATCARTTCTTTCTTTGTATGCTCCATCCATAACCCTTCATATCCATGCATGGGTGCAGGGTATTGTTCATCCTGTCACTTACTTAACCTCCTGCAGATGTGCACACGCAGGACAGCTCATGATCTSCATGCCTATGGTGTGCAAGGCAAGAAGGGCTTCAAAGTGCCACATTCCATTCAAAATACAGCAACTGCGCTATGTTTGCTGGACAAAAACATAGCGCACACACAGAAAACGTGGTTTTTCTTATGAAACAAACAGGTTTACAGTGCTGTCTCTGCCCAAGAGACGTGGTGAGCAATTCTTCTGTGGTTTCTTTGCTATATGGAGACTATGCAAAGGAATACGTATAAAATAAAATTGTATTCTTTTAAGGAACTCTGAGATTGCTTTGGCATCTGCTTTAAGCAACTGACTAGTCTACGTTATTATTTACAATCTGATTTGTGCTAGGGTTAATCTAGGATAAGGTTACGTTACGTCAGATGATATACTGCCTTTTTTTTTTTTTTTTTTTTTATCCGTAACAGTAAGTATGATGAAAGTTTCCAACACCCTGGAATTACTGAGTAAATCCTGAATTTTACTGAATTAGTGACATGTAGGTTTCTTATTTTAGTAACTACGATAATCTCTGTGCTAGTTCCTAAGTTATTTCCAAATCCTCTTTCAAGAAAAAAAAATAAGGGGGGGAGGAGGGACCAAGAAAAATACAACAACACATTTGATTAATATAAGTGTTTACTTATAGAGAAAGTATGCTGGAGCCAGCCCAGCAGCCCAAGTCTGAACAGAGCAAACCTTTTTTTAAAAAAAAAAAAAAAACCCTAAAAACCTATTATGGGAACTACTTTTTTTCGATAAATTTCATAGGACAAGCACAATAAGTTTAGGATTGTTCTGGGACCATCTGAATGAAGACCTAGGAGACGGAATTGCTGAGATAAACCATTGGTTACCACACCTCACCTACTTCTCAATCAACATATTAGGAAATATTTATAATTTGCTTGGCTCAGTTTTACTACTGTGTATAAAATGATTACGTGAATAAATCTAGCAAGATGTTGTAAAAATAATTCACTCTTTCATCAAGCTTGACTGTGCAACTCTGCTGTGAGTAAATTCCTACTAAATGTGTAATCAGAGATGCTGGAGATATCCTAGCCCAGCTGAGGGGCTTTAAACTGGGAGAGGTGTAACCAGTTCAGCACAAGTTTCTTTATCAGGTTCTTTACTTGGGCAAGGCTCCCTCAGGTTGCTGCAAAGAAAATCATATTTGGCTGGCAGGGATTACACAAGAGTTGATATTCCCTTATTCCTAATATCAGGATGATACTCTCTTTCCCTAGTCAGGCTGCAAAGATCAGATTAGGGCTGGTTAAGCACCTCCTTAGCTGTGACTTTCTTCCCCTTTGGCTTGGGCAGAAGATAGAAGTTCTGTAATCCATTGCCTATGATCTAGAGACCTGCATATGCATGAAAACAACAGGAAAAATAACACCCGAGTACGATTTGTAAGATGGCATTCATAGCCAAGGACTTCATTAATAGCAATCAAACTGGTAAGCGCGGAGGAACGTGCTACTCGTACCATGGTGCCCCATTACTCATCAGCAGAGACCTGAACCTAAGAAAAGCAGGACAGCCATGGAAATGCAGCAAATTCCATGAGCCACTTCTTTTCCTGTTACCACAATGGGACCAATGTTGGAACCGTGAGATTTATGAAGAGTGAAGTCAACAAGATGCCTAAATCAACAATAACGTCACAACAACATTCGATCCCTAAAGGCTCTTCAAGACCTGTCTGAGAATAAGTTTGTCATTTCCATTGAGAGAAATCCAAACAGTTTCTTTTGCTTAAAAGCTAAATAAATTATCTTTCCCTTTCAAACCAGTCTTGCTTTTTTTTTCTGCAATAGTTCCCACAACAGCACTGAAGAATCATGCCATAAGTGTGGTCATATAGTTTAATTTTTCAGGTACCTATGATATTCTCCCTAATATGTAGTTATGTGCCTTCATGGGATACTGACATTGTAGGTTATCACTGGTGCTTTTTTGTAATTCTGTCCRATGTATATTCACAAGAAGTATCACTGCATTATTACACTTTCCCCCTTAACGTTGATACCTCTGTGTCAAAATGTCCATTTAAGCTAAGTAAGCCTCTAACATATTAATTTCTTCTTT